CTCTCTCAGTGTTGTTCTCTCTCAGTGTTGTCCCCTCTCTCAGTGTAGTTCCCTCTCGGAGATGTCTGCCTGGGAAGTTTGAATTTCTCTCCTTGTCATCTCTTGCTTTGTATTTCCAATTTCTCTCACAACTCATCTAAAACGTTTCTCACAGGATGGAGGAGGTGGTGGAAACTACCGACGGAACGATCACGACAAACCTCACCAGCAGTCAGACAAGAAAGGGAAAGTGATCTGCAAGTACTTTGTGGAAGGCAGATGTACCTGGGTAAGGGAATAATTCAAGGATATTGACCTAAATCTCTTTATACTCACGCGGAACCGTCACTCGACGCGTGAGGTTTGGGTTTTAACCCATTTCTGGGGAAGGATTCACACCTACAAAGAGTGTTTTGTAAAAGAATCCATCCTGGGTGTGAAGGAAACACCTTTGTGCTTCCACCTGCCGACGTCCTGTCGTGTCTTTGTTTCCCAACAGGGCGACCACTGTAATTTCAGTCACGACATTGAACTGCCAAAGAAACGAGAACTCTGCAAGTTCTACATCACCGGCTACTGCGCCAGAGCTGAGAACTGCCCTTACATGCACGATATCCTTTGGGTTATTTACCATTTCATGGAGACAGTTTGAAATCTGTCTCATTTATTCTGTGTAGATACATGTGGGAGAGTCAAAGGGGGGGGGGAAAGGCAATTCCTGGGTAATTGAGAGGGAATGAGCAGCTCCTCCCTCTGTTGACAGGCTGAACGAGCTGGGCTGTAACCAGCCCTTCCCCATTTCCTTCTCAGCTTCACCTTTTTCTGTTGAAGGAATGAGATTTGTGCTCGTTTCATGTACAGCAAAACCCAACACAAAGGAAAACAGGGTGTTTCTAGTGACCATAGTTGAATTTTCACGTGGCCACAGCCACGTTGAGAGCCTGATTTTAAAGCCAGCAGTGTCTCTAACCTCCTCTGGCTGTAGGAATAACTCCTCCTTGGGATTTATTCTCCTTAATAAATGACACGGGATTTCCCTTGCAAGCTGTTCCACACCACAGGCAACTGCATCAACGGGGATGATTGCATGTTTTCCCATGATCCGCTGACAGAGGAGACGCGGGAGCTGCTGGACAAGGTACGGGGAGGTGTTCACACAAGTTCACCTTCTGTTTTTCATCTGTGGAAACAGATCCCGCAGGTGGAAAGGGATGGGAGAGGTTTTGGGGTGACAAGGCAGCTCCACTGATGTGTTCTGACTCCTTTATCTCCTCAAGATGCTGGCAGATGATGCAGAAGCAGGAGCAGAAGATGAAAAAGAAGTTGAAGAGCTCAAAAAACAGGGGATCAATCCTCTTCCCAAACCACCCCCTGGGGTTGGTTTACTGCCCACACCTCCTCGCCCTCCTGGACCACCAGCTCCAACATCTCCAAATGGGAGACCCATTCCTGGAGGTCCTCCTCCTCCTCCACCACCACCTCTTCCACCTCCGGGACCGCAGATGCCACCACCGATGCACGAACCTCTGTCACCACAGCAGCTACAGCAACAGCAGGACATGTACAAAAAAATCCCCTCGTTGTTTGAGATCGTCGTGCGGCCGACGGGGCAGTTGGCGGAGAAGCTGGGTGTGAGGTGGGTGTCACCATCTCCAGGTGATGAGGAGAGGGATGGAGCTGGTCAGATTCTGTGTCAAAAAATTGAGTGCAAACACATTAAAAAGAGGTTTCTCTCCATTTTTAAGTCCAGCAGCAGGTGCTGTTGCTTTGGAGAACCCTGATTCCATCCTTCCTGAAGCGCAGAGCGTGTGTTAAAGTGGATTCTCTTCTCTTTTTCTCTTTCAGGCATCCAGGTCCACCTCCTCCCAGGTTCCCTGGACCAGGAGGACCCCCAGGACCAATGCCTGGACCCATGCACCCCGACATGCACCCCGATATGCACCCAGACATGCACCCAGACATGCACCCAGACATGCACCCTGACATGCACCCAGATATGCACCCAGATATGCACCCAGACATGCCGATGGGTCCAGGAATGAACCCTGGTCCACCGATGGGTCCCGGACCCCCTATGATGCCCTACGGACCGGATGATTCCCCCCATTCTGGGATGATGCCACCAGTCCCACCAGCACAAGGTTTTTATGACAATTTTTACCAGCAACAGGAAGGTTTGGAGATGGATCACGGCATGATGGGAGATCCAGGTACGTCCTGAGGATTTACCGGGGTCACCTCTTGGCTGTTTTGCCAAAAACACCATCTCAGAGATGATTTATTCCCCAGAGGGGAAAAAAATGAAGTTCTTTTTCACAGCTTTGAGATTTTCTTGTAACATTTAATGATTTTTTTTCTTCCCTAGAAGATTATGGTGATTACGAGGACATGGAAGGGCCTCCTGGAGAGCACATGTTCCCGGATCCATCTTTGGATCATGATGCTTTATGCGAAGGGGGTCCCCCTGGTTTACCAAAACCACCTGGCAGCATCCCTGATTTCATGCCATCAGCACAAAGAGCTCTTTATTTGAGAATCCAGCAGAAGCAGCAAGAGGAAGAGGAGAGAGCTCGGAGATTAGCTGAGAGTAATAAGCAAGAACGTGAAAATGAGGAAGGCAAGTGGCCAAATAACGACGTTTTCCATCCAAAACCACGTGCAGCGTGGGGAGGGGGGGGGGATAACTTGGATCTGCTTTGGTTTCTACCCACCCAGGGGTGTTATCCCCCCAAAAATGGGGATTATGGGAGAAATGAGTGTTGGGGAGGAATTATATAGGGAAAAAGTGCTGAATGCCTCAAAAAAACCCACCCCCTTGGCATCAGAAGAGCGTGTTGGTGGTGGAGGAAGAGGAGCAGGTCTGCAGAAAAAATGGGAACAGTTGGCCAGAAGGTGAAGGAGATAAGGTTACAGGTTGAAATTGTGGTGAAATCCGAGTTTCCTGCAGGCAGGAGGAAGAGGAAGAGGAGGATTCTTAGAGCTCGCTGGTAATTTGGAGTGTTAAGAAAAAAAATGAGACTTAGGGAAGCTGAAGTCAGATGTGACCCCTCGTTCCGGTAAAAACACGGCGAGGGTTGGAAATGGGAACAACCTTGGGTTGAGAGGGGAGAGGGGCCACATTTTGGGGACTTTCTCATCAATGTTACAGTTTTAATTCTCTCTTATCAGCTGTTTTCTCTTCTCCCTCCCTCCCCACCCCACCAGGTGATACCGGTAACTGGTATTCCAGTGATGAAGATGACGGTGGAAGTAGCGTCACCTCCATATTAAAAACGTTACGCCAACAAAGCTCTGGTAGATCTCACACCCAACCTTCCCATGGAGAAATGGGATCATCCTCTGGTGTCAGCGACCCTCGTCTGCAGAAATCCCAGCCAGGAGGGAGCGGTCGTCCTGCTGATCCACGTTTACGGGATCCCAGACTTTCCCGGAACGCGGATCTTTCCGTCCCGTCTCTCCCAGTGGATTCAGGACCCACCGATCCCAGATTGGCTCGACACATTCCCTCCTCCATCCCCAAACCAGAAACTCCTCATTGCGGTGCTGTCGGTGGTCAGAAACCCCTACGAGATAAACCCATCAACATCCCTTTGGATGCTCTCCCAGGTCATTCCCTTCGGGATCCTCGTTCCCAACTCCAACAATTCAGTCACATCAAAAAAGACGTCGTCCTCAACAAACCCAACTTCGCCCGGATGATCCTGTGGAGCCCAGAGGATCTTATCCCCTTACCCATCCCAAAACAAGAGTTTATTCCCATCCCAGCTGCCCTAAACCCATCAACATCCCTTTGGATGCTCTCCCAGGTCATTCCCTTCGGGATCCTCGTTCCCAACTCCAACAATTCAGTCACATCAAAAAAGACGTCGTCCTCAACAAACCCAACTTCGCCCGGATGATCCTGTGGAGCCCAGAGGATCTTATCCCCTTACCCATCCCAAAACAAGAGTTTATTCCCATCCCAGCTGCCCTTCAATCCATGCCAACCCTCGATCCACGACTAAATAGATCCCAAACGGGTCTTTCTGATCCCAGGCAAAGAGGAGGAACCACCTCAGGGGATCCCAGTTCCTCTTCGGGTACCGGTCTCCCCGATTTTGAGCTCCTTTCCAGGATCTTAAAGACTGTGAACGCCGGCGGTGGCAGCTCATCCTCCAACCAGAGCGACAAACCCAGCGACCCACGGAAACGGAAAGCTCCTGCTGATCCCAGATTACAAAAATCAACAGAAACTGGGATTTCTAGAGCTCCTAAAACCACTGAGTCTGTGTCTGTGGGTGACTCGGCTCCGGCAATCGCTCCCTACGACCCTCGGTTGCTGACGGCCGGTGGGTTGAGTAAAGGCAGTGGGCAAAGCAGCGTGTTAAGCGCCATCAGTTTATACGATCCCAGGACTCCAAATTCAGGTAATAAACCATCCGAATCACCAACTGAAGGAAATTCCACTTCATTAAAATCATCAGATTCCATTAAAACAACAGGAAAAACTAATAAAGAACCACTTTTTACCCGGCGTTCGGCGTTAGATCAACCGGAATCGGAGAAACCAACCGGTGAATCCACCACGGACAGATACAACAGTTACAACCGACCGCGTCCTAAATCCACCGCTCTCACCTCAGAAACAACCCCCCAACCTGGTATCCACAATCTCCCAGTACCACCAGTTTATGGACTGGTGAAACAAAGCACTAAATCATCAGGATCGGGGAGCCCGTTCGCTGGGAACAGCCCAGCCCAGGACAGCGAACAACAAGACGCCGCTTCCCTCAAAGACGTCTTTAAAGGATTCGACCCCACGGCTTCTCCTTTTTGTCAGTAGTATTATACCCAAAAACCTCCTTTTTCTCCCCAAAAATCTTGACTCTGCATCATTTTGATTTATTTTTTTTCTTTTTAGGAAAAAAAAAA